GAGGGGGAAGTGTAGGGGGCGGGTTTCTGGGATATACCCTTTGGGTGGTTGATGAGGCATGGAGGGGATTGGAACCATGGCAATGAGATGATATAAGATGGAATGAATGTAAAACTAAAGTTCCCCCATGTAAACTATCATATAATTCACAATAAAAAAATATATATAAGTGAAAAATAAATAAATTAATTAAGGGTTGAAGTGTAAAAAGAAAATGTATCACTTGGGTCAGGCCCACCTTTGTCTTCAAACTGATACCTTTGCTCTTGAACACTTTAAAGAGGTATTGTGCAGCAAATTTGCCTAATGCAATATGCCGTTTGATTTCTTGACTGCTGCTGATGAACACTGATGGTTCATCCGAGCAAAATGAAGTTTTTGACAACTTCAATCTTTTCTCCATTTATCTGGATGTTATTTCATGGTCCAGTGGTGAGGAGTTTTGTTTTCTTCACATTGAGGTGCAACCCAGAAGACTGTAGTCTTTGATCTTCATGAGTAAGTGTTCTAAGTCCTCCCCGCTTTCAGCAAGCAAGGTTGTACCATCTGCATATCGCTCGTTGCTAATGAGTCTTCCTCTGATGCTACATTCTTCATACAATCCAGCTTCTCAGATGATTTGTTCAGCGTACAGATTGAATAAGTATGGTGAAAGAACACAATCCTGGGGCACTCCTTTCCTAATTTTAAACCATTCCATGTTCTCTTGTTCTGTTCGAACAACTGCCTCTTCGTTTATGTACAGGTTCCTCATGAACATAATTAAGTATTCCGGAAAACTCATTCCCCACTATGTTACCCTTAGCTTGTCATGATCCACACAAAAGCCTTTGCGTAGATAGTCAATAAAGTACAGCTAAACATCTTTCTGATGTTGTCTGCTTTCAGCCATGATCCATCTGATGTCAGCAATAACATCTCTAGTTCCATATCCTCGTCTGACTCCAGCTTGAACCTCTGACAGTTTCCCATCAATGTACTATTGTAGCTATTTCTGAATTATCTTTAGCAAAATTTTGCTTGCATGTGATTTTAATGATATTGTCAGATGATCCCCACATTCTGTTTGGTCACCTCTCTTTGGAACGGGCACAAATATGGATCTCTTCTGGTCAGTTGGCCAGATAGCTGTCTTCCAAGCTTCTTGACATAGTTTATTAAAAGATTTCAATTTGTATTCCATCTATTCCCGGAGACTTGTTCTTTGTCAATGCCTTCAGTGTACTTTGGACTTCTTCCTTCAGGATCATTGGCTCTTGATCACATGCTGCCTTTTGAAATGGTTGAACATTGACCATTTCTTTTTGACACAATGACTCAAGCTTAACAACAGTTGTGAGGATGGAGCAGGACCAGGCAGTGTTTCCTTCTGTTGTGCATTAGATTGCTCTGAGTTGACAACCTCAATCTCTTCTCCATTGATAAGAATGCTGTTTATTGGTCCAGAGGTGAGGATTTTTGTTTTCTTTACATTGAGTTGTAATCCATACCAAAGGCTGTGCTCTTTGATCTTCATCAGTAAATATTTTAAGTCCTCTTCACTTTCAGCAAGCAAGGTTGTATCATCTGCATATCGCAGGTTGTTAATAAGTCTTCCTCCAATCCTGATGCCACGTTTTTCTTCATAGAACCCAGCTTCTTGTATTATTTGCTCAGCATACAGGTTGAACAAGAATGGTGAAAGAACACAACCCTGTCGCACACCTTTCCCAATTTTAAAACATTCAGTGTTCCCATGCTCTGTTCGAACAACTGCCTCTTGGTCCAGGTACAGATTTCTCAGAAGTACAATTAAGTGTTCAGGAATACTCATACTTCTCAATGTTGTCCATAGCTTGTCATGATCCACACAATCGAAAGCCTTCACATAGTCAATAAAGCATAGGTAAACATCCTTCTGATATTCTCTGCTTTCAGCAAAGATCCATCGGACATCTGCAATGATATCTCTCGTTCCACGACCTCTTCTGAATCCAGCTTGAAATTCTGGAAGTTCTCTGTCAATATATGATTGTAGCCGTTTCTGTATTACCTTGAGCAAAACTTTACTCGCTTGAGATATCAAAGAGATTGTCCGATGATTTCCACATTCTGTTGGGTCACCTCTCTTTGGAATGGGCACAAATATTGATCTCTTCCAATCAGTCGGCCAGATAGTTGTCTTCCAAATTTCTTGGCAGAGATGAGTGAGTGCCTCCTGTGCCGCCTCACTTTCTTGAAAGATTTCAATTTTTATTCCATCAATTCCTGGTGCCTTGTTCTTTGCCAATTCTTTCAATGCATTTTGGACTTCCTCCCTGAGTATCAATGGCTCTTGTTCACATGGTACCTCTTGAAATGGCTGAACATGAACCATTTCCTTTTGGTACAATAACTCTGTGTATTCCTTCCATCTCTTCTTGATGCCCTCTGCATCATTCAATAATTTGCCCAGAGAATCTTTCAATAACGAAAGTTGAGGCTTGAATTTTTTCTTATCAATGGAGAAGAGATTGAGGTTGTCAAGGACTTCATTCTTCTTGGATCAACTATCAACACTCGTGGAAGCAGCAGTCAAGAGATCAGATGACGTATTGCATTGGGCAAATCTGCTGCACAGGAACTTTTTAAAGTATTGAAGAGCAGAGACATCAGCTTGAGGACTAAGGTGCGCCTGACCCAGGCCATTGTGTTTTCAATAGCCTCATATAGATGGGAAAGCTGGACAGTGAATAAGGAAGATCGTAGAAGAATTGATGCCTTTAAGTTGTGGTGTTGGAGGAGAATACTTAAAGTGCCATGGACTGCCAAAAGAACCAATAGATCTGTTTTGGAAGAAGTGCAACCAGAGTGCTCCTTGGAGGCCAAGATGGCTAGGCTTTGTCTCTCATACTTTGGATACATTGTCCGGAGAGAACAGTCGCTGGAGAAGGATGTCATGCTGGGTAAGGTGGAGGGTCAGAGAAAAAGAGGAAGACCCCCAACGAGATGGATCAGCCAGGTGACATCATTGATGGCGTCAAGTGTGGTGGTGGTAGTGAGGTTGGCCCAGGATCAGACATTGTTTCGTTCTGCTGTGCATGGGATTGCTATGAGTCGGTTCCGACTCGATGGCACCTGACCACAACAACAACTCTGATTCTTAGTGGGACCAGGGGGCACACCCAGTCCCAAATTAGTCTCTTGGCAAGTTTTAGGGTACAGTTCATCTCAGCATTTCTTTCCAGGAGGTGTACAGCTTCCACTTCGCTGGGCGAGTTCTTGAGTCTCCAGCCAGTTTCTCTTTTGAGATCTTCAAAGGGGCACTTGGGTGTGAACATCTTCAGCTCAAACTTGAGGTTTAGAGTCAGGGTCTGCAAGGATGGGAGCTGGGCTGATGTCTTGGTGATTTTGTTGGTGCGATGGTTTCCTTCAGCTTCATGGTATTGACTTTTTGGTGATCTGGGCCATACATGATAATTACTCTAGCTGGTGCTTGGTTGGCCCAACAATGTGAGTAGCCACGTCTTTTTCTAAATTGCCTTGTGTGCATGCAAGACAACCTAGAAGGAGGCCCTGGGTGGGGATGTGCGCTCTGCCTTTTGCGCAGTCAGGCCGCTATCTTTTCACTCTCACACCCACTGTTCTGAAAGGTAATCTGTAGATCTTTCTTGGAAGCCCTTATCAGAGTGGTTGGCAGTGTTAGCCGGGCACCTCTAGTTCTTCTGGTTTCAGGGTAGATGAGATCGTGGCTTGTGTAGACAGGTTTCTTCTCTGAGACTTTGTTTTTCACACTGTCTTGATTAAAACAGCTTAGAGTAAATTTTGAGATCAGGTATGCGTATTTCTGTTGTTATTAAGTGCTGTTGAGTCAGTTCTAACTCTGAGGCTTTCTATAGGATTTCTGAGGAGTTACTGGTGGGTTTGAACTGCCAACCTAGCAGTTACTAGTCCAGTGCTTATCCTACAGAACCACACCAAGATTCCAGGTAGATGTATAGGTCCTCCAAATTTATTCCTGCATTGTGTTGTTATTGTTAAGTACCATGGAGTCGGTTCCTGAACAGAACCCTGGAAATAGTATGGGTTAGGCATTAGGCTGCTAATCAAAAGGTCAGTGGTTCAAATCTACCAACCTCTTGAAAACAATGAGGCTATCTGCTCTTGTAAAGATTTAGAGCGTCTGAAATCCGGTATAGCATCGCTCTGAGCTGGAGTCAGCTTGGTGACGGAGGCTTTTAGCAGAGTTAACGTAGCAGGTCAGAGACTGCTATCTTTAGGAAGAACTACTCATAGTGCTTATGAGTCAGGCTGCCAACCTCAAGGTCAGCAGTTCGAAACTACCAGCGGTTCCATGCAAGAAAAATGAGGTGTTCTGCTCCCGTAAAGATTTGCAGCCTCAGAAGGTCACCAGTCACGCTATGATGGTCCCCAGTGAGCCAGACCTGTGTCCTGTGAGTTCTCCTAGCAAGTCACAGAGTCCTCCCATAAATCCCTAAGTATCATGGTTCAAACAGACTGTAGTCAATCTGTCTGGGTGGGGCTGATGAAAGGAGATGGGGATAGCACTCATGTGGTACAACAGTGAATAATTGGTATCAGGACTGACTGTGAGGAATGGAAGTGTAAAGGTAGACATTTTGTAGCAAAAGGAGGAGAGTGATTGACTTTGCAGTCTAGGAGCAGAGGTCCCTGGGACCATCAAGGGAGAAGAGCGGATTGCGGGACCCTACCCAGAGGAACAGTGATGCCAGAGATGGAGGCAGAGACAATGACATGAAGACATGGAGCGGCTGGGGACTCTAGACCCAGAGAGGGAGAGGGGCCTGTGTGCTGATGACCGGCGGGGGGTGGTGGGGTGGGGGCAGGTTTGTAGTGTATACCCTTTGGTTGGTTGATGATGCATGGAGGGGATTGTAACCATGGCAGTGAAACAACATACGATAGGATGAATGTAAAGCTAATATTCTCCCATGTACACTATCACATAGTTCACAATAAAACATTTAACGATAAAAGAAAAAACTGTGATGAGTCGCACACACATACATATTTGCTGTTGCTGTTACGTGCTGTTGATTCAGTTCCAACTCATAGTGACCCTGTATAGGGTTTCCAAGGAGTGACTGGTGGATTTGAACTGCCGACTTTTTGGTTAGCAGTCCAGTGTGTAGCTTATAGTGCCACACCAGGACTATACGAGGGGGCTTCAAAGGGTTCGTGGAAAAAGTTCATAATCTTTTAGTTCCATTTTCCATGAACTTTTTGAAGCTCCATTATGCACACTTGATTTAAAATTTTTTTCAATTTCTAATTATTTAGAGATAGTATATAGTAATATTGTGTGTGTGTGTGTGTGTGTGTTTACATGATTGAGCCTTGTGAACCCCCCCCCCTTTGTTCCAGGTCTTTGGACGAAGGCACTGTCACCACGAATTTGGATTTTCATAGATGCTGTAGGGTTTTCATAGATGGCCTAGATCAACTAGGGTGTTCTATTCCTGGTATTTATTCCTAGTTTGATGACAGATTTTATCATGGGTTGGTGCAGAGTTTTTCAAATGCTTTTCTGCATCTATTGTAATAATCATATTTCTTCTTCGACCCTTTTTAGCTTTAAAAACAACTGTGATAAATTATATTTAACAAAGCATTTACAATTTCAGTCTTGTTTACATGTACAACTCAGTTCATTACGCTTCCCAGGTTCTGTGGCTGTGACCAATCTCCATTTCCAAATGTCTGATCCCCTTTAACAGAAAATTAGTGCCCATGAAGCAACGACCACCCTTCTCCCTCCCACCTGTCAGTGGCAACTACTCGCGTTGGATCTAGGCATTTGCCTCTTCTAGATCTTTTCAGAGAGGTGGGATCTGACAGTATCTGTACTTTGTGCTCCACTTATTGTACTTAGCATGGTATCTTCAAAGATCAACAGATTGTAGCATATATCAGAACTTCATTTCTGTTTTTTGGGTGTCTGAACTATTTATTTCTCAAGACCAAGAGGTTGGGCTAGCTGGGAATGGGGAGGGCAGGGTCACAGTCCTCAAGCTTAGGTGGAACTGTTCGAGCCAACATGGCCGCTTTCATGTCATAGTAGTTGATGTGGATCCTGTCGGGGCTGACGCGCAGGCGCTTGGCCTGCAGGCCACACAGCACCTTGCTGTAGGTGCGGTTCTGTGCGCTGCCGATTTTGCTGTGCAGGCTGCAGAGGTGCGCACGCCTCGGTTGATCCCCGAAGGCCCTGAGCTGGTCCGGGACCACGTGCACCGCGATGTACTGCGCTGGCTTGCCAGTGGCCGGCGCCAGCTGCTGAGTGAGCTCGGAGAGAGGAACGTTGGTGTTCACTAAGAACATCGGCATGATGGCGGAAAGACTGACGGGTGGACCAGACTAGGGACAGACTCACGCGGAGGCAGCAAGCCTGGAACCTGAGCTCTCATTTCTTTTTATGATTCAATAATATGCCATTGCGTGTGTGTATGTTTTGCTTAGCAGTTCAAATGTTGATGGACACTTGGGTTGTTTGTACCTTTTGGCAATTATAAATAGTGCTGTCATGAGTATTGGCATGGACGTATCTGTTTGTGTACTTAAGTCTTTTGGATATATATCTAGGTGTAACTGTTGAGTTATAGGATACATTTAGCCTTTTGAGGAGCCCACCAAACTGTTTTCCACGATGGCCGCACCACTTTAGAGTCAAACCAGCCGATGGATGAGGATTTTCACTTCCCCAAATCCTCAATGACTTACTGATTTCAAGGTTTCTGATCCTGGTCCTCCAAGTGGGAGTGAAGTGTTACCTCACGCTGTGATTTCTGTTTGTATGACACTGAGCATCTTTCCATGTGCCTTTTGTATATTCTCTCTGGTGAAGTGTCTATTCAAGTCCTTTGTCTATTTCATTATTAGGTCTTTTTAGTCTTTTAATGTGGTTGTTGTTAGGTGCCATCGAGTCGGTACCGACTCATAGCGACCCTATGCACAACAGAAGGAAACACTGTCCGGTCCTGGGCCAACCTCACTACTGTTGCCACACTCTAGCCCATTGATGCTGCCACTGTGCCAGTCCATCTCACTGGGTTCTTCCTCGTTTTCTCTGACCCTCCACCTTACCAAACATGATATCCTTCTCCAGTGACTAGTCTATCCTAATAATATGTCTGAAGTATGAGGGACGAAGTCTGGCTATCCTGGCCTCCAAGGAGCAGTCTGGCTGCACTTCTCCCAACACAGATCTATTGGTTCTTTCGGCAGGCCATGGTACTCTCAATGTT